CCCAGGATAGCCAAAACAACCCTATACAATAAAGGAACTTCAGGAGGCATCACCATACCTGACTTCAAGCTCTATTATAGAGCTATAGTCCTGAAAACAGCTTGGTATTGGCACAAAAATAGGCAGGTAGACCAATGGAACCGAATTGAAAATCCTAATTTTAACCCACACACCTATGAGCACTTGATTTTTGACAAAGAAACTAAAACTACACAATGGAAAAAAGAAAACATCTTCAACAAATGGTGCTGGCATAACTGGGTACTGGTATGCAGAAGACTGCAGATAGATCCATGTTTATCTCCTTGTACAAAACTTAAGTCCAAATGGATCAAAGATCTCAACATAAATCCAGCCACACTGAAACTTTTAGAAGAGAAAGTGGGAGATACTCTTCAACAAGTTGGTACAGGAGACCACTTCCTGAACATAACACCAGTGGCACAAACACTGAGATCGACAATTAACAGATGGGACCTCCTGAAACTAAAAAGCTTCTGTAAGGCAAAGGACATAGTCAACAAGACAAAAAGGCAGTCCACAGAATGGGAAAAGATATTCACTAACCCCACATCTGACAGAGGGCTAATCTCCAAAATTTACAAAGAACTCAAGAAGCAAGTCTCCAAATCACCAAAGGATCCAACTAAAAGGTGGGGTACAGAAATAAATAGAGAATTCTCAGTAGAGGAATCTAAAATGGCCAAGAGACACTTAAGAAAGTGCTCAACATCCTTAGCCATCAGGGAAATGCAAATCAAAACAACTCTGAGATACCATCTTACTCCTGTCAAAATGGCTAAAATCAAAAACACCGAAGACAATTTATGCTGGAGAGGATGTGGAGAGAGGGGAACACTCCTCTACTGCTGGAGGGAGTGCCAACTCGTACAGCCACTTTGGAAATCAGTATGGAGATTCCTCAAGAAAATGGGAATCAATCTACCACAAGACCCAGCAATTCCACTCTTAGGCATATATCCAAAGGAGGCAAATTCATACAACAAGGGCGTCTGCTCCACTATCTTCATAGCAGCATTATTTGTAATAGCCAGAACCTGGAAGCAACCTAGATGCCCCTCAACTGAAGAGTGGATAGAGAAAATGTGGTATATTTACACAATGGAGTATTACTCAGCAGAAAAAAACAATGGAATCTTGAAATTTGCAGGTAAATGGATAGCACTGGAAGAAACCATCCTGAGTGAGGTAACCCAGTCGCAAAAAGACAAACATGGTATGTACTCACTCATATATGGATCTTAGACATGGAACAGGATAGTGCCAGTCTGCACTTCCACTGATAGAGAGTCTGGGAAACAGGAAAGAACCTAAAAGATATGCATGGTACCCAAGAGAAAAGAAATGAGGCAAGATCCTCTGAACAGATGGGGAACACGGCGAGCGGTGTGGGGGGGAGTGGGAGCTGGGAAGAAGAGAGGGGGAGAAGATGAAGAGAGAGTAGGTCATGGGGGAACAGGAAGGTTGAGTGGGGGGGGGTAGAACAGGGGGAAGAGGGAATCATAGGTTAGAAGACAGATCTGGCACCAGTGAGACCTCTAGTGATCTAAAGGGATGACACCAACTGGCAAGCTAAGCAATAGTGGAGAGACCACCTCGAATGCCCATTCCTGATAATGAACTTGATGTCTATAACCATCCTGGAGCCTTCATCCTGTGACTGATGGAAGCAGAGGCAAACACACAATTAATCACTGAACTGAACCCAAGGAACCCAGTGACAGAGAGAGAGGAGCGATGAGCAAATTGGCAAAGAATGGGCTGGCAAAACCAGCAGAGACAGCTGATCTGAACAGGGGAGAGCTCTTGAACCCCAGACCGACAGCTGGGAGGCCAGCATGGGACTGATCCAGACCCCCTGAATGTGAGTATCAGTGAGGAGGCCTGGGCAACCTATGGGGCCCTGAGCAATAGATCAGTGTTTATCCCTGGAATACAAACAGACATTGTGTACCCATATCACAAAGAGGGATGTTCTCTCAGCCTGGACTCTTAGGGGAGTGCCTGGACCCTACCCCTGAGTGAAATGACAGACTCTAGATATCCCCTATGTGGAAGGAATTGGCAATAGGGTGGGAGGGGGGCGGTGGGGGGGTGCAGGAGGAGGGAAGGGTGAGGGAACTGGGTTGACATGTAAAACAAGCTCCTTAAAATTAAAAAAATTTTAAAAAGTCACCCCTAACCAAAACACTATCTGCAATTAATACCCTATAGTAAAAGGAAAATCAGTTTTCTCCGGTGGAATTTCACTGGGTATATTAACCACACTTCACAGTAGGCTTCATACCCAGGAGTAGTTGGCCAACAAAAAAACAAATGCAATGGAATTTTGTAGACTTTTTGTCCCAAATTGTTTTGTTTGGGCTTTTGTGTGTGTGTGTGTGTGTGTTATTGATTTTTGATTGTTTATCTTGATTTCCATTTTTGTGAGGGTTTTTCATGTGTGTTTCTTGTTTTGGTTTGGGTTTTTGATCAATTGACTGACTCATTGAGATAGAGAGGTGTGTGTTTGTGTGTGTGTGTGTGTGTGAGAGAGAGAGAGAGAGAGAGAGAGAGAGAGAGAGAGAGAGAGAGAGAGAGAGAGAGAGAGAGAGAGAGAGAACACATAAAGTTGGATGAAGGAGGAGACAGAATCAGGGAGGAATTGGAGAATGGGAAAAACATGATCAAAACCTATTGCTTATTTCTGCTGGTGCAACAAAGCACCATAGGTGAAATTCAGGAAGAAATAAAATTTGCTTTTCAGAGTAGTTTCTAGATTGAGGTACTTATTTCTGGTTAAAGATCAGCCTAATTTTTATCTGGCCAATTTCTGTCCATGCTTGATTTGGTTTTCATTCTTAAGCTATCTGTCTAATTTGCCAGTTGTGATATATTTTTCAGTGTGGGAAATGGTGGATTCACTTATAATCCAGCATTGAGAATCCAGGAAGATCCCTGAGGTTAAGAACACTGGCCTCTCTTTTAGAGGTCATGAGTTGAATTCACAGGAACCACATAGTGGCTTGCTCACAACCAACTGTAATGAGATCTGGTGCCCTCTTCTGGCATCAAGGCATACTTGCAGGCAGAGCAGTGTATACATAATAAATAAATAAATCTTTTTAAAAGAAAAGAAAATTACTTTAAGTACTATTTAAAGCATTAAATATAGGTAGCAAGAAATACAAGATTATAATCGATAAATTAATGAACATCATGTAGTCATTGTCCCTGAGTAACCATGAACAGAAAGAGTCAAATAGTTTTCAGCTCCCACCCCTCTCTATCTACTGAAGAACAAAGTCTTTGAGGTTGTAGAGTTGGTTAGAGTTTTAATCACAAAAATACTTGCCATGCTGGGGCTTTTTAAGAGATCCAATGTTGTAGAACATTAAAACTGCATAAATCAACTGAACTTTCAAACTTCTGCTACCTGGCTTGCCCAGGTAACATGTAGGATGTGATAATGGGTTTGGGCTTTATACACCCTACCCTGCCTTGCTTGGGGAGCAGAAGGCCTTCTGGTCATGAGCCTGCTCTCTATTGCCAGCAAATAGAGGCCTCTCAATCTGATCTTTACTAAGGGGCATTCTTGTGTCTCACATGCGTACACCAATACAGGTATTAAGGCATCAATGAGAGCAGATTCCCTATGACCTAGTCACCTCCTACAGGCTCCACCTTCTGCTACTTGCACACTGCCAATTACATCTTAGCATAAATCTTGGAGGGGACATAAGGAGGGGTCGTCTATAATCTCATCAAAGCAGTTTGTTAGTAATAAGTCAAACTGACAAGAATGCTGGAACTTTTTTTATGAATGTGAGATTTTTCTTGCATTGAAGTACTTTAGGCCATCCAATCAGAAAGTTGTCACAAACGCAGCAACTTTCATATGGATGTAGGTACAAAACCATGGGAAGAAATGCTCCAAAATGCTAACAGTCATTTAGTCTGTTTTTTGGAGAATTTGTATGCATTTCTATAATTTTAAGTATCCTTTTAAATTCTAAGGTTCTTTTAGAATTGTAAAAAGAAAATTTGAGGAATACATCTTTAAAATGAGGCTGCATACCACATTCATTGGTTTAGTGTTTGTCTTAGCATTTTGTGCTGTGAGAGATCAAACTTAGTAGGCAAGAGCTGTGCCCCCGAGCTACATCCCCAGGCTCCACGGTCACCTTCAAAACAGCACCCGGCACTCCAGTTCACTAGACTTGTAGAACTTACCCTCCTTCCCTTTCCAAATGTTCTCAAGGACAGCAGCATCAATCCCAGGTAAAACCATACCAAGTGGTCTATGCTATTCACAGGGTATAGTAGCTAAAATCACCCATCAGAGCCAAAGGTTCTTAGCTACAAACTACATCTCCAGCCCCCTCAGAAAAATGAACTTTCTATATAAACCTCATTTTGTGCCCTTGTTAAATAAGCCTTCTAAGGAGTCAGTGAAATAGAGTGTCAAGTACCAAAGGTTGATGGCAAGAGGACCAGTGAGAATGGAAACTTTCTCTAAGTTACTCCTCCAGGTTGCCTAGCCAGGTCCCTTCTACCCATTTTGAAGTGACATTGTGTCATTCCCTGGGGTCAAGTGGCTCAGGATGACTGCTGATCTCTGGGAACTATGATTGCATGGAGTCTATTTCTTCAGTCACTTGGGCAAGTCATAGCCACAGAAGTTTCCCTGATTTACTGCTCTTCTCTCTCACTTCCTCACATTGTGGAGATTTTTCTCCTTTCATGGAGGGCTGTGAAGATGGATACAGTATCTAAGTACCCACAATCCCCTTCTTGCCACCCTAGAGAAAAGCACAATGGCCTTTATAGCCCTATTGTTATCTGCCTGGTACTGTGGGGCGGTAGGACAAGCTCACACTCTGTTTTTAAAACCTTGAGTCAGCCTCATTCCAATAGCTTGGGAATGTTAGAAGTCCATGTCCCTACTCTTGTCCTTTGACTTCCTGCTTTCATTGAGTTGCCTCTGGTTTGTGTTGCAGGGATATAAGGAAAGGAAGTCTGAATTTGGCTCCTTTAATGGTATAGACTGTGGGATTTTCTGCACTGAAGATGCAAGGCTTGGGAAAAAGTGATCCCGGGTAAGAAATTATGAAATAATTAGAAGTCAATACATACATAATAGAACTTCACAAGTCTTCACTAGATAATCTTTCAGTGTTAAACAAGCCCTAAAGGTGGTACATTGTCCCTCTGATGTCCAAAGGTCATCCACTGTATCCTTGCATAGGGTCAAATGAAAAGCCACTGTTTCAATCTGTTTAATACACAAAAGTGATCTCTAAGTTCCCAACTAATCAGCTGTTGTCAACATCACCCATGCATCAGGGGTGTGCCTACAGCAAAGTCAAGAGAGATTTATAATGCCATTTATCTACCTGACCTCTGAGATTCTTCTAAGTAGATGTCTGCATTAAACGTGGTTTGCTAAGGCTTTCCCTCTGTCTCAAGAATGCACATCTTTTATTTCATGGTGAAGGCTCAGGAAAATTACACTCAAGGAGAGACAAATGGGGACCCTTATAAAGATCTTTAAGAGACAGGGGTTTGGGTTTCTGGAAAGAAGGGAGGTGGTACAAGGAATGTAACGTAAGAAAGCTGAGACCTCTAAATGCCTATGCAATACCAAATGTTCATTCCTAAAAACATATTCGCAGGCAAATGGATGACACTAGAAGAAACCATCCTGAGTGAGGTAACCCAGTCACAAAAAGAGAAACATGGCATGTACTCTCTCATATATGGATTTTAGACATAGATCTGGGGAGTGCCAGCCTACAATCCTATGGCCAGAGACTCTGGGAAACAGAAACTTTATTTAGTGGCTGATCGAAGAAGAGGCAGACTCCCTCGGTTAAGTACTGAGCTGAACTCAAGAAAGCCAGTAACAGAGAGGGAGGACTGATGACCAAAGGGATTAAGACTGGGCTGGTTTAACCCCCCAGAAACAGCTGACCTGACAAAGGTTAACTCTTGAATCCCAGGCATCAGCCTGGGAATCCAGCTTGGGACTGATCAAGACCCCCTGAATGTGAGTGTCAGTGAGGAGGCCTAGGTAATCTATTGAGCCTTGGGCAGCAGATCAGTACCCATCCCGAGTATACACACGGACATTGGACTCCCATCCAACAATGTGAGGCACACTGTCACCCTGAACTCTTGGGGAAGGGTCTAGGCCCTGCCCTATATGAAATGACAGACTATGGACACCCCCATGGAAGGCTTCACCCTCCCTGGGGAAATGAGGGGATAATGGGGGGGCTGGGGGGAGGGCACCGGAGGAGGGGAGGGAAAGGGAGAGGGACCTGGAACTGACTTGTGAAGCAACCTTGTTTCTTATCTAAATTTAAACTAAGAAATAAATAAATGAATAAATAAACATATACATATGAATAACACTAAATGGATTCAACAGATTATATATATATGTTTATTTTCACATGCACATACAACAACAATTACAGAAAAAAAGCTATGATTTTGTGAGGGAGCAGGAGAGGGGGCATGGGTGGTGTTGGAAGAGGGGAGAATGATGAATGTTTTTTTAAAAGAGCAAGGAGGTATTTGCACAGCGGCCAGAGGGCGTCTTGTGCAGCTGGAGTTTCCCAAGTGACATCCACCTATAGTAATATCTGTCTGGGTCAGGGGTCAGGCTTCCAATCTTCTGTACAAGGATTCCTCACAGACAGAAAGGCAGAAATATCTGAGCCAGAGGCATCTGTCTGCAGTTTCTATAGGTGGTGTTTTTGCAAAAGGGCAGTTTCTGTGAGCCACCTCCACTTGTGCAGAAGTCCATCATTTCTCTGGATAACTAAGAAAACATGCTCGCAGCATATGGAACCTCCTAGATGCTTCTAGATGGTGCCTAGCTGACAAAGGCCCATAAGCACAAGCTTCCAGATCTTTCTGATCCTCTCTGCAGGCACTCTTGAGCACACTGTTCCCTTTCCATGGTCTGCCTGCAGCCTGGTCTTTGGGCTGCTTTGGGGAACTAGCTGGCTTACGGTCTGGGGCCACTATGGGCCAACTTAGTATTTTCAGGCCTTCCTGTCAATGGGCTTTGTTTTGTTTCGTTTCCTAATGCCATCAGTGAACTCAAAGAAAGGCAGAAGAAATGCTGGTGTGGGAAACAGGGGGTTGGTCTTTAATGGCATCCGAATCTGCCAGTCAAAAAGCTTTCCAACTGAGAAGAAAGAGAGAGTAGGGGGGAACTGTGTACCTGAGCAGCAAGCCTCACCTCTGTTCCTAAGTCCTCTTGCCCTAGTTCATAATCTATTTATTACTGCATTGTGCGCTTTTAGATAAAATTAATTGATCCCAAATATTTGATACTTCCTCTGTGCCAGGCAATGGGCCAAGAGATTTCCCAGGGGTTACCTTCCTGACTCATCAGATCATCTTTGAGGCAAAAACTATTATTCTCATTTTATAAATGAGCAAACCAAGGGGGTAGGGGTTAAAGGATTTCAATCTCAGTCTGGATGCTAATGAATGTCCCCTCTAAGGGGAGACACAGCTCCCTTACATTTCAGCACTTGATATGAGCAGAGGTACTGACTATTCTTGACTACACTTTGTTCTAGACTGTTCTACAGGACTGAAAGTCCTAGAGCTCAGGCTTCTCTATAATGCAACCTACTACATGTGCCGGTGCCACCTGGCTCTGTTCATACCACCCCATGGGCAGTTTAGCTCAGATAATTGATGTGAAATTGAGATAGTCTGACTACTACTGCAGCTGTGAATAATGAATCACCCTTTGCTTCTGACCTAGTAGTCTTATATCTGCTAGATCCGTGAAAGAATATTAAGTTAATTTATCGGTTCTCAGATAAGGTTTGCTCACAGAGTTTTCCATGCTCTTACTTCTCTAGATTCTCACAGATGCTGTAAAGGGATCTGGGCACCTCAAAACCAAGCATATCTGTACCATTGTATTTATGATCATAACTAGTTCTTTCTGGCTCAGGTCCACTGCTGCAGAGTGATGTTGATCCCAAAATAAGCAGTGAAATCTTTACCAGCAAACCACATGTTTAGTATCCAGTCCCACATACATTGCCTCTGAGGTTCTGCCACCCATAGGTCTACTGTGAGAGAATAGCGTGTAGGTATTGACTGCCATGAGATTTTTCTAGGCTTGGTGGATCTCTTCTCTCCCCTTTCCCTCAGCATCTTTTTATCTCTCTGCCGATTTCCAAGACACTTCCATTAATCACCTCAAAAGGCTTGCTCTTTCTCTAAAACAGGAAGAAAAGTTCTTTCTAATGCAAACTTCCCCTGAGACAAGAGGATCCAGGAATGATCACCTCTGCTTTATAAACAACAAAAGCAAAATATAACTCAATATATCACCTTGCACAGCAACCAGTGACCGGTGAGCTCAGTGGCCATGAACTTGCCTGCCAATAGCAAATGATGGTATCTTTCTCCCCTTTTTCATATCTTTAGTGTAGGGAATAAGTAGTAAACATTTCTTTTGGTTAGCTCTCTGTCTTCTGGTCCACTAAACAAAAATAAAATAAAATAAAACAAAAACAAAAAGATACCATTATCCAAGAAGTACACAGAATAGTTACAACAGGGATAGGAAACCAGCCAGCCCACCACCACCACCACCACCACCATCCCTGCATCTTCTCTTCTTGCATGTATCACATCTTCCTGCCTAGCTGTACTCAGAAAAGAGGTATGCTGGGGAAATGAGCTTAAAGAAAAGCAAGTCCTTTTATCATAAAGGATTGTTTACTGTCTGGGTTTTATTTTATTTGCAGGCAATTTGATTAATGCAAATGTCCTTTTAAATGTTGATTTCATGAGAATATCTGCTGATGGTGAAAAAGGCCATCTTGGCAAGATTTCCTGTAGGTACCAACTCATCTCTTCTCCCAGTTTTAAATAACCCCCCAATTCTCTTAGTCCCCAAATAGCCCTGGGCACATGTTAGCTGCTGGCTTTAATGGTATTTTCTACATCTACCTCTTGCAAGATGTAGGCAATACATACACTCTTGGGGATACAGTTGTCTAGTTACAAAGAAATGTAGCCCTAGTTATATTTTCAGAGATATCACATAAATAATGATCACCTTAAAAGAAGCGATTGAGCCATCTTTCTCATGTTTATCTGTTCTTGGAATCATGAGATTGCCAACTTCCTCATGCAGGAAGGCAGACTCTCTGGTGATCTTGCCTAGGAAAATATTTTGTCCATTGTGAAAACTATTCAACAAATATTTATTGACTAACTGAATGATTTCATGGAATAAGTGAATAAAATTCCTAAAAACTCAGAAGATTAAAACATCCTTGGTTGAATGTTAGATGAATCTTCGTTTCCACTAATGTCTCCTTGTCTGGCATATTCAGAGTTGAAGACCTTGAGTGTGGAATGCTCCACATGCTGCAGCACCCTGAGCATAATCCCTGTCCCGTCAAGTCAAAGGTGCTACATACTGTGTGCTCCAGTCACCCCTGTCACCCAAGCATACACTTAGGAGACTGTTCTAACTAATGAGGTAAATTATGTGTTCTCTGCCATCAAGGATGAGCGTCAAAGCTAATCACACCTGGTCATTTCCTTCATGGCTGGTCCTGTTTGCCATGGGATGTCTCAGTGGATACAGTATTTGCTCTGCAAGCATGGGGACTGGAGTTCAGATCCCCAGAATCTGTGTAAATTCCAGGCCTTGGAAGGTGGAGATCAGGGAATCCCCAGAGCAAACTGGTTAGCTAGGTTGGCCAATCAGTAATCTTTGATTAACTGAGAGACCCTGCCTCAACAAGCAAAAGTGAAGAGTTTTTACTTTTACCTTATTACCTGTGGTGTCACTAATACCCTTATCTTCAGTATCACCAACCTATTTGCCATTGTTCTATGTTCTTTCACAACCAGATACCATTAATCTGTTTCCTCTAACATTGTGCCCTTCCAGTACCTGCTTCCCACATCCCCTAAGAGTCATCAAGTATAGGCAAGTCAAGAATCTACTCACATTTGGTACAGAAATCTGACATCCCACTCCCGCCCCTACTCTGAGGCATTAAAGCTCTTTCTTCCTTGTCCATATTCTAGCTAAACA